GAGCAGTGGCTCTTTCAGCTATATTTCAGACAAAAAGGCTGGTAAGTATTCGCATATAAAAGAAGTCGTTAAGTAGCGTGAATTCGTCGACAGTCTGAACCCAATCGCCGTTTTCCAGTTACAGATGAAAGATATTTATTGATTCATTGATGATTTTTTTTTTAGGTTGTTTTTTGGTTTTGTAACTTTTTCGCCTACGTTTTGCAATTAAGGGTGTTCCGGGTGTTTCCCTGGGTGTTGCGCGAGTGTTCCAGGGTGTCCGGGGTGTTCTGGGCCTCTTCCGGCTTTTACAGTGACCCTTTATTTTCTTCTGCATTCAACCCAGTCATTCAAAAGTCAGGGGTACCCAATGACTTTTTTCTGTAAAATATCTGTTCAAAGAAGCAAAATTTGCTAGCATTTTCTATAGCTCGAGGAAGGCTAAAAGTTTCTAGATGACCGTTCCATTCATGTACAATTTTCGAGGTTTATCTAATAAATTCCCTACGATTTGCTGAAGTTTCTTTTCTTTTCTTTTCACTCCCCAGTTTAAGATATTTTTCGCAGAGAAAGGAAACCTAAAATTTTCGGAACCAAAAATGCGATGCAGAAAAGAATCATGCAGAAAAATTCTCAATTTCGTAAAACTTTAAATCGCAGCTAAGATTTTCGGGAAAATAATGCTGAAGCCCTTGTAATTTCGGAAAGACTTAAGTTGCCCTAGGATAACCGATGAAATTTTTTTAGCGCACTTACAATACGTTTCTAGAGATCTAAAAGTACACTGAATAGCCCGAAAAGCGTTTTCAATACATTTAGGAGGAAACCATCGTTGAGCGCCCCTGAAGAGTGCCGCATTTCCAGCCATCTTTCTAATGTTGATTATCGTTGTACTTTCATTTTGAACCTTGTTTTGATATTTTTAGTTCTTCTGTGGCTAGGTTAGCCTGCGTAGCAGACGTAATTTAACCTCGGTAAGTAACGGTTGCGAAGCAGCGCCAATATCCTGTTCTGGGCCCCCAACGGACTCAACAAACTAAACGGACGAGCATTTAGAATTCCCTTTCATCTTGATTGGCAAATCGTCTATGGCATTTTTAACAGGCCAATCACATCACGTACTCAAATCATGGTACACAGGTTGGGCCTCAGACAAAGTTTAGTTTCGTCTGCGGCGCAGGCTACGGCTAGGTTTATGCTAATGTAGATTTTTTCCGAATTCATAAATGTTTCCCGATTTGTTAAATTTTTATTCACATACAAAGTATTCACTTCATATTATCCAGTGTATCCAGTCAAATCTGAGTGTAATGTGTTCTGAAAAAATATGAACTGTAACTAAAGCTACACAGGACTGTTCTTAAATTTCTCCAGACGCTTGCTTTAGACTTTCCATATATTTGTCACCAATTTTTCCCGGGAAATTTTTGTCGGCGGGAAGAGAAATTTTTGCAGACCACTGTATCGAAAATTTTAAAAAGTGGTTCTAGCGCATGTAGCTGCATGTAACGCCCTCAAATTTCAGAAAAGTACTACTTGTTTGTTTCGGCCTCAAAAATTTTCTCTTAAGTTGCCCATAATTTTGAAAACAGATTTTGAAAGAAAGGATAACGCTCTATAACGTGAACTAAGACACTTTACTGAAATCGAGGTACTAGTCGACGATTTTGGGCTTTGAAATTTGCCATTTTTTCATGGAACGAAAACGTTCGAAATATTGAAAATAATGAAAAATCTCCAAAATATTACATTTTCGTACAAATGGAGTAAATCACCACTTAAAATGTGTATAATTATGTACTTTTCTGAATAAGTTATTCGTTGTTTGCATTACAATTGATTTGATTTTTAAAACGATTTTTTTGTGACACACCGTCCTGGGCCTGTAAAACCCAGTCCGAGAGCAGCGAAACCAATAAACCCCCCCTCCGCCCCGTGCGTCTAAATTATTTATTGGATAGAAGTATTTCCACTTTTGTAGACCTCTGGTCGATATTTACTGACATCCGCTCATAATACATGTAGCTGTTACAGGCCATTTGTATTTCATTTGTGCATAATTCTGTATAATTTTCTTGTTTGCAATACACTTTTGAATTTGTATGTTATATAAATGTTTTATGTTGTCTCTATAAGATATATATATAGGAATGTCTGGTTTCAGTGGTTAATAGTTTCTTTAAAGTTCCTTAGTATGTCTTGCATGGGTAGTTTTCACTGACCATTTCATTACAAAAAACTGTTATTATCAAACAAAAATATTTGCTGGGCTAATTATTTGCGTTCTTGCGACCTCTTCGTTAGTTTTTCAAGGGCAGTGAATTGTATTTTTTTCACATACTTATTCTTCATTGCACAGTAGTATTAGTGTACAAGATAAAAAATAATGATAATTTTATTATATTTTAAATTTACCCGGACTTTAGTTTTCACAATCTGTGCAACTGCAATGCTCAATATTGGAGATAGCTCAATAAGGTGTTTAGAGAAGAATACTGATGTACACGAACAAATCCCAACTTTAATAGTGAAAACAGATCATCTGGCCTTGAAACTGGGCAGCAAAAAATAAATGCCATAGCAGATGAGGAATTACACAACTTGATATTAAACTGAAGTAGAGAACCGATAGTATTTAGTCTAAAAATGATGTCAGTGCTATCATCTGAGTTGTGATGTCATTTTCTTAACAAGTCACGAAATTTTACAGGTCACGGAGTTGGAACTATATTCAATACAGATATTTGTTCGCGGGGGAAACATTGAACAAAACAGAAAACGAACGTGAGAAAAAATAATTTGTTCCTTCGCTATTGCTTGCAGAAAATGAATGCCACGGGATAATGGCTAACTTTCGCTGGATAATCTCTCTGACGATCCAGTATAATGTCCGCCATCTTGTTTTGTCTCTTTGGTAGTACCCAGACCCTTGAATCACAGCTAGATCGCTTGACCCCGCTCGTTTCAACGCCCTAGCTTCTTGCCCAACAGATTGTAGCCTTCAACAAGCTTTACACATATAACACATGTATAATATCACACATAGCGTTGAAATGTGATAAAAGATACGAAATTTCAGCCATCTTTGCTCGATAAAAAAAATTGTGGGTACTTCTGGGTACTTTTTACCCTGTACAATATTCAGGACTTCATTTTGCTGGCATGAGGTCCACAGTTGGAAGACTTCAACATATAATCCAAAAAATCGTGAATATTCATGACCTTGTTGTGGGTCACTGAACACTTTGTGATGTCAAGACTAAGTGCCACAATGAAAATAAATGTTTCAATGCGGAAACTTCGCTCTTAAGCCATTGCAAATCGGAGAAATCATGTCAAACAAGAGAGAATGATCTCATTCTCTCTTGTGTCAAATAACAAAATAATGCAAGTTTCTTATTTTTACTGGAACACAAGTGAGAAAAAAGCCGAAGAGAAAACGACCTTAATTCACGATAGAATCTGCCATGACTGCAATATTGCGTGATGCTTCTGGAAAAATGCATCATGGGATACTATTGATCGTCGTCTGCTTCCAGGTCTTGCACGGAAAAAGATGGCGGAGCGAGTAGGTAGCTTACAACTGGCTGATTCTTAGCTACTTGGAAAGAAAAACTCTTTTATCTGTAGTTTAGTACACGTTAGCGGATAAAAGCCAATTTAAGCTTCACGCCAAGCTCATATATTCAGGGCAGAATTTGAAGATTCGCTTTCATTTGGCAAGGCGGAAGTGGTAACATTGCTGTTTTTAGGATCTAGCCTTGAAAGGAAACTCGCTTCTAGGCTACTTGTGCACTCTTTAGCGGTAAGTTTGTCCTCAAAAGTATGCTGTTACAGATAGTTTTTTTAAAAATTATGTTGTTATTCATTTGAATGTCTTTTTGGAAAAAAAAAACCGGACAGATTTGGAAACAAATCTAGCTCAATCTTCTAAGAATATCACTACTGAACTATGCGTCATTAGCATAACAGAGCGACGCCGCTCAACACTATATCCTTGCACCGCTAAGGACAAAAATTTTCTCATTGGTACAAAGAATCAGACTTTTATAACCTTCATTGCATTTTATTCGGTAAAATGGTGTTGCTCACAGTCCTATGTTACTGTGCAAGCAATTTTCGTAAAGGTAGCCCAGCATAAAATGCGGCTTTAAGTTATAAAGAAGTTCAAGAACAATGATTTCCACCTGAAATGTTTATCGTAACTGCATCATTAACCAGCATCATGAACCGAGATAAAAAAAATGTTAATGTTTTTGACTAGAAAATCATACGATCAACTCACTTACGGCTTTCAACACTGTTTGAACTGGCATCAAGTCTTACCATGACAGTAAGCTTCTGTATTTAGAAACAAATAAACGGCCTCTTTTATTATTCAGTGGCAATTAATGGCGCCAAGGCGTTTCGATTTCATAAGTCGGTTTAATGCAACATCACACACTGATTCTTGACCAACGATAATTGAACTGGTGGCCACTTCCCCCGCATTGAAACGATTACTTGCAATTCACCTACTACATTTGATGGCTCGATAAATTACCCTACGAGCAGATGTTTCTCCCTTGCATGGCTTTTAGCGTTTACGAAGTCGTTCGCTTGGCTTGTCTATCGCGTAGTTTGTTTGTCGCCGTTCACGGGGAGTAAACAAACCAACTACGCGACAGAAAAGCCACGCAAACGACTTCGTAAACGCTAAAAGTCATGAAAGAGAGAAACCTCTGCTCGCAGGGCACAGAAAATAGGCAATTTGCGAGTTTCAAAATAAATCGCTTTCAAAATAAGGCTTAGTGCAAAACCGAGTTTGTGAAAATGAATATTATTTGAATATTGAGAATAATTAAAAAACAGTTTCGTATCAACAGCTTCGCACTTAGCCGGCAGTCAAACAGATTCTAATGGAGCAACTTTGAAATTATCTATTTCATGTTTGCCCAATTTTCTCAAATTTCACAAAAATCACAGGTTTAGTTCAGGCCCTCTCAACCTCCTCTTTCACTGCTGTACAATGTTCAGCGAATTTTCGAATTTTACAAATTTTCCAATTTTTCGCAAATTTTGCAGGTTTCACAAAAATCACATTTTTAGTTGGGGTCTTCCTAACCTCCCCTTTGACATTTTTCAATTTTTTTGAAAATGTTGCAATTTTTGCCCTGCGTGCAAACCTGGACATATCTCATCCGATACAGATAAACATCTATTGGAGAGACATATATCAGAGTGACAGTCCTGAAGCATTTATTTGAGAGTGGGAGTCATTAGATCATTTCACTACTACCCAACTGCAGTTAATAATATAGATGAGAACACTCCTGCAAGGAAACTGGCTGTGTGTGTTCCTATTGTTTACACCCCAATAAAGCAAAGAGACAAAGAAGTAGCTAGGCAATGGGGAACCTTAAAAGAAGTAGACAAGTTGACTTTTATAATATTCACGAATATTGTGTTTGACTATATATTGCCAAATCAGTGTCTACGGAATCTACCTGGTGTAGTGCTCATAAAATCCTTTACCTGAAAATGCCAGGCCTGTAAGTCCAACAGGACCCTTTTGTTCAAAAGGTGGATATACATAACCACCATTCACTGGATTAACTTCAGTGGGCAATGTGACAAAACATGTTACAATTTATAGCAAGGACTTACATTCCCCTTCTATTCATCAGTCATCGCTGTCTCATCTAATCATCCTGAGAGCACGAAAGCAACAAGGAGTCAAGACAATTCAGAGGTTCATTCTTTTCTCTTATTTCTTTTAACAAAAAGCTATACTTTATTCATATTATACTATGTTTTTGACATTTCAGCTGTTGATTGACATGTTGACTAATATTAACCATTAGTCAAATCCAACTAGTGGTCTATCATCAATGCTGCGTTCAGATTGGTTGAGCTACTACTACCCGTACCAAACCAAACACTATTTTTAACATATTTTTGATATATTTTTAAAACTGTTTTAATTGTATTTGAGAACTTCATTTAAAACAGGTAAAGTAGTTATAGAAATGGTTGTCCTGGCTCACTTTTCTGGCTCACCCAGATCCAATAAAATTGATAAAATTCCTGAATATGTAGGTCAATTCCGTAAAGAGTGGCTTATTATAAGAGGTATTGATAAGGAGTGTAAAAGATTTCTTAATAGAGTGGATGAACATAGATTATTAAAATATAGTGAAGTACCTAACTATAATGAGTTTGATATTTTTAGTTTATCTCAGTCAAAAAAGTTAGTGTACTATTTTAAAAGATTTATAAAATGTATCAAAAGAGATCGTCTTCAGGATACATCTAATTTTGAACTAAAAGAAGATGTGATTTTTATAGATAATTTAGAAATTGATTTAGATGATTTTATGGATTCATTTTGTGAACCATATAGTGGTAAAATAAATAAAGAAAAATATGACAATGATGATTCAGGCGGCAAAATTGTTTGTTTAGTATTTCCATGACGTGATTATCTATTATCATTAGTTTGTTATAAAGTTCATACTTTTCATTATCAGTTAGATGTAGTCTTTTGGAAATTTGATCAACCTTTTTCTCATAGTGATACTTTCTCTGATAAATACTCTTTTTTCGAAAATGAAATCGATTGTATTCTTTCAAGTCAAAATAACCAAGAACATGGCCATTAGTTGTACCACAAGAATCGCAAATGTTATAACCTGATTCAACACAAAAACTATCGTTTTGACAATTACTACATTTAGCTTTTCTACTTACATCCACTGGTTTATTATAATTATGTAATATTTCTAAATATTTTTTTATTTGATCTTCTGTATACGACATTTATTATTTATTATCTTATTATCTTAAAGCAAGAGTTTCTACTTTATCCTCTAAGACCTGTCTTTTATCATCTTCACTACTCAAAGCTATTTTATTTATTTCCTTTGAGTAAATGTCATGATTTTCACTTCTTATAATTTTCATAGTTCTCATTTGCTTTTCACCGGTAAATAAACACTCAAAATAATTTTCAAAATCTATTCCCTTTTTTACAACACTCTTTTTTACACCTTTACACTTCTTGGTTAAACTCCCATCCTCTATCTTGAAAGTATAAAGCTTTGGCCGAAGACCAATAAATTTTGTAATCTGTCTACCAGCTACTTCATCTTTAAACATTCCTATTACTTTTTTGTTTACTCCTGTTGGTATTCCAGACGGATGATCAGAAGGATAATCAGAAGTGTCAAACTTATCTAATATATCATGGGAAATATCCTTATAAAAATCATCGGTATGAATTTGATATAAAAGTGAGTCAGTATCTGTAAACATTAACTCAGCTTTGTCTCTATATTTCTTTTTGATATAATTGTAATGAAAATCAAACATTAATGTTTTTGATAAATCTAGAATTGCTTGACCAACATATACTGGTTTATTAAAGTACACTTCTGTTTTTTTCATATGAACTGCAATAAGATTTTTATCAAATATTGTTGCTCTATCAAAGTTTGGTCGACTCGTTAGTTTTGCAGCTTTTTTACGATCATCAATAAGAATTATATTCTGTCTTTTCCTTATGTTTTCTATTGTCTTTCCAAACACTGAATTATTCATTAATTTGAAAAAGTCTTTCTCAAAACTGTTAGCTGCTGTTTTTCGAAGTTCTGTATTTTTTCTTATGTAAGGCTCCATCCAAGAAGATTGGTAAAATGATATTCCTCTATGAACAGCAGTAAGCCTCATTCCCATCTCAAGATATTGTCTAAGATTACAATAATGTACAACATAGTTCTTTCGGGGTTTAAAATGACATATAAGTTTTTCAACACCATTAACAATCATCTTCTCAGGTGCAAGAGGATAGTCATTATGTGATTTCCATAGCTTTTTAGGATATTCCAAATCAACTTCAAATATAATATATCCTTTTCTCCCACGATTTGACATACTATGATTTGCCTTATCTAGGATGTCCATTACTTTTTCTATTGTTATATTTTTCATCCAACTGAATCCATGTGTTGGAAGTTGTTGTGTCATTGCCCAAAAGTATAGATTATTTGCATCAAGATATTGAATATAAGTAGACTCCACATCAGGATTATAATCTTTCATATATTTGTTATTTGCTTCTGCATATCTTTTTGATATATGGGATATTCCTCCACGAATACCACGCTCAAACATCATTAACTTATCGTAATCATGTAATAACTGTAATTTTTGACCTGTCTCTTTGAGACATGCATCCCAAGCTAGTCCAGGAGATGTGTAATAATGTGCTGGATCTAGCTTGTAATGTTTGAGGCAAGTTTTCCTAAAGTTTTCAAATACATCTGACAGAAGTAGGACATCAGACTTTAGGTAAAGATTATGATAATCTCTTATTGATTTACATTCAAAGGTTTTCCATACATTAATAGCATGTTGGTAATCATCATCACTTATTTCTTCATCATTTAGCTTTGAATAGAATTCCCCTTTTGGTGGTAAATGTGTTTCAGATAATTTTTCGAGTGATGAAACATAGTCATATGGATAAACTCCCTTACGAGTTAATAATTCTACATCCTTTCTTACATATTTTTTTTGTATTACAAAAATCATCTGGTTGTAGATTTGAAACAAGATTGGCAAGTGAAGTTTGAAGAAACTTGAATGAATCTAAAAATCGTATTTCAAAATTTATTGGAATCATTTTTCCAGTTTTAAAACATTTATACTCATCAACCTTAATACTTTTAGAAAATGAAATATATTTTTCCTCTGTTGATGGAATACAATTTAATTCTCCTGATAATCTAGCAAGTTGTTTAATAAACAAATGAGCATCATAACCTTGAGGATTGTGAAATATAACTGGTAGTATTCTTGGTTTTTTACACATAAGATTACACCTGTTATGTGCTGCTCCTCGATATTTACCTGTAAAATGACAATGATCTCTAACTTTGTCTACTCCATAATCAGTAAGTAATTCTTTCTTACAAATATGACAAGTTTTTGCTTTATCAAATGATTTTTGTTCCTCTTTATTTAACCTAAGTGGTTTTGGACGGCGATAAAAATCATTATATATACTACTTGTTACTTCCGCAATTTTTTTTAACAAATATTGATGCTACATTATCACTATCATTATTCTTTGTGTAAATAATTGGTTTAAATGATTTATCAGGAACTATTCCTTTAATGTAAAAACAAAATCCTGATGGTTCGTGCTTTTGATAGTTGTAACTATAAGATTTTTCTGGATTTGGAATACAAGTATTTATTGATTTAGTAAAGCATTCAAAATCTGCATAAACTACAAAAGGCACTGGAAGTTGTTTTTCATAATTTTTAAAATAAAGCATTGTACCTTCTTCTGGCATTTTTACAGAAACTGTTTCATTATTTGAACAGTATAAAATATGTTTTTGTAATAATTCGTCTTTAGTGAAATGTGTAAAACATCTTTTACAAATAAATATTTTACCATTAAGACTTTTAGTTTTCTGTGACTTAATCAAACGATGAAAATTTTTGATTAGTGTGTAATGCGAAACACCATCTTCTTCATACAAAAATAAATCAATAGTATTCAAACAATCTTTCTCTGCCATTCTTAAAGGATAAAAAATATAATTATCAGCTGAAAAAACATTAATACCTGGAAGTTCTGGATTAAGTTTTTCAAATTTTGTAATATCTTTTAATTTCATAGGAAAACTTATTCCTTTAGTATTAAGAGAATTTTCATACTTTTTCAAATCTTTTAATCGTGAATCATTATCTTCTCTTGGGTGAAGATATCTAAGTATACACCAAAGAAAGCATTTCTAATCTTTGTTTTGAATATTAACAATTGCTTTTTTGTTTGATATCCAATCCGGAAGTTTAATATAAGATGACCCCTTAGATGGGTTAAACTCAACAGTATGAATTTCAAGTTGAACTACATGAACAAAATACCATCCACTTCCATTTTCTTGATAAGCATCTATATCGTTAAGAATATTTTTATAACGAAGATTAATTAATTCATTTACATCTGTTGATTTTAAATTTTTTCGAATTCGTGATGTAAAGTAAGCCTTACTTTGATTCAATCCTATAACTCCCTGATCTTTACTAAGTAATTGTTGTTCCATCATACAAACCAAAAGCATATTAAATTTTATGTTTCTGTGATATGTAAAAAATTCTTCTACTACACTTTGAATTTTATTTAAAAAATCAACTGGAATTAATCCAGGTTCTCCTTTAATAACATATTTATTAGCAAAGTCTTGCAAAGATGATTTTTCTTTAATAAGACCTTGATCATATTCTATCATAGCTCTCTCAAGAGCTTCACGTAAATAAGAAGGAGTATCTGGGGGAATTGTTTTATTTTTTATACATTCCTCAAAATACTCTTCAAATGATTTTATCTTTTTCTTATTACTTTTGGACACACTGGTATGACTTTCTCTTTTTAATTTTTTCTTTTTCCTTTCTTTTACTACATCAATTCCTTTTCTTACTTTTTCTCTAGCTTTTTGTAATCTATTATACTGTTTAATTAATTTTCTTCTTTCTTCTAATTCATTATAATCTTTTTTGAGTTCTTCTTTTTCTTGTTCTATTATATGTCTTATTTCATCCAAAGACAAATTCTGAAATTCTTTATCTGTTATAAAAGGTTGAGAAACCTTAAAACCATTTGATTGGTTAGACATGACGTCTTATAATATTAAGCTTATATTATAAAACGTAAATTCTTAAGTTATAATTAATCAAAACCTGAATTCCTTATTAATCCCAGTCTTATAATAAGCCACTCTTTACGGAATTGACCTACATATTCAGGAATTTTATCAATTTTATTGGATCTGGGTGAGCCAGAAAAGTGAGCCAGGACAACCATTTCTATAACTACTAGGTAATAAATACTATTTTTAATGGTGTTTTAACCGGTTTTTAAAGGTGTTTTAACCTGCTTTTAATGGTGTTTTAACCTGTTTTTAAAGGTGTTTTAACCTGCTTTTAAAGGTGTTTTAACCTGCTTTTAATGGCGTTTTAACCTGTTTTTAAAGGTGTTTTAAGCTGCTTTAAATGGTGTTTTAACCTGTTTTAAATGGTGTTTTAACCTGGCTTTAAATGTTGTCTAACCCTGTTTTCAATGGTGTTTTAGCCTGTTTATAATGATGTTTTAATCTGTTTGTAAAGGTGTTTTAACCTGCTTTTAATGGTGTTTTAACCTGTCTTTAAAGGTGTTTTAAGCTGCTTTAAATGGTGTTTTAACCTGTTTTAAGTGGTGTTTTAACCTGCCTTTAAATGTTGTCTAACCCTGTTTTCAATGGTGTTTTAGCCTGTTTATAATGATGTTTTAATCTGTTTTTAAAGGTGTTTTAACCTGTTTTTAATGGTGTTTTAAGCGGTTTTTAATGGTGTTTTAACCTGTTTTTAAAAGTGTTTTAACCTGCTTTAAATGGTGTTTGAACCTGTTTTGAATGGTGTTTTAAACTGCCTTTAAATGTCGTCTAACCCTGTTTAGCCTGTTTTTAATGATGTTTTAATCTGTTTTGAATGGTGTTTTAATCTGTTTTTGAAGGTGTTTTAACCTGCTTTTAATGGTGTTTTAACCTGTTTTTAATGGTGTTTTAATCTGTTTTTAAAGGTGTTTTAACGTGCTTTTAAAGGTGTTTTAACCTGTTTTTGATGGTATTTTAACCTGTTCTTAATTACAAATAAAATAAAAATTTAACCATTTTCTTTGTAACAAAAATTGAAAATAAAAGCAAGTTTTCAAAAACACTCTTAAAAGCCAGCTGAAAAACCCTTTAAAATTGACATCACTTATATCTGGAGTTGTCTAAACCACGTACATGTATGTCTTGGGAATTTTCTTTGAAACTCACCATATTCACATACAGTTGTATGATTGTTTGTTAAAAATTAAAACACTACTAGAAAAGTGTATTCTAAAATTGTCTAATGAAATCACTAACTAAAGGTTTAATAAAGATTTCTAAAGAAAGATATAGTTTATTTTCTTTCCTACTATAATACAACTATTAGCCAAATTCATTTGAACAAAACAAAGGTCACAAGTTGTTGGTACAGTAATAACTGCCTAGTAAAACACTAAAGGACCCAGGGTGCAAAGAAAGTCAGTTTTACAGCCTGCCATTCGGGCAAGCTGTAGCTAGCATGTACTATAGCCCACAAGTCATTTCAACTAGCCCCAAAACCCTTTTTGATTAGCAGGATTGATTACAATCCTTCTGTAATATGAATTCTCCCCCTCCCCCCCCAAAAAAAGCACTTGCCTGTCAGGCAAGTTAAGAACAAAAATCACTAGCCCGATGGCAAAATCCACTAGCCCTGGCCTATTAGACACTCATTTCTTTGGACGCTGAGGATCATTCAATGAAACAACAGCTACAGATCTGGAAACAGATAGGCCAAATTAACAAAAACTAGAACAGACTTCACTGGTATAACTGAAAGAAATAAGAATGCCGGAAAGACATAATTATATTTGTTTGTTCTTCATGAAGCTTGATTTAATATTGCTTAGAGGTAATTTCTTCTCTAAGGCAAAGTTTCATAATAACAAGTATTATTATTCATTCAAAATATTTTCCTGACTCTGATTGGCTAAAAGCACTCGTTTAATTCACCATAACCAGTTACTGATGACCAAATTTGGAAGAATTTTGTCTTTAACGAGGAAATGACGTCAAAAATGCAGCGTTTTCGCAGGTTAAGGCACCGTTAACCAAGAAGACCTGGGGACGGGGTTGAGTTGTTTTGATTGTCAACTTGAAAAATGGCGGACATTTCACTCGTTTCAAGAGTAAGAACTAGCCGAAAACATAGCTAAAAACGAGGCAAGAACAGCAAGAAGACAACTCGAAGGACGACATCTGCTATTTGGAGAATATTTGTGGAGCTGGACAAACCTAAACGTGCACTATCGAAGATGAACTTAACATCGATGGATCGATGGAGGTTAGCATGTTTTAGCCATGTTTTTAAAGTAGGAATTATTTTGAATGAATAATAAAACTATTATTGAATTCGGCTTTCGTATCATATGACGAATTATGGAGATCGAGGAGGGTGTTATCCGTCGAGGCGGATAACACCCTCCAAGATCTCCATAATTCTTCATAAGATACTCCGCCTCATTCATTAATTGTTAACTGTACATGCAATTGGCAAAACTAAGCGAAATATAATAAGATGCCTTCTAGCTGCCTTATCCAACAATCATTAAGTAACTTGCACTGTTGCTGGGACAGGCAATTTTCCTCCACCATTAATTCAGGAATGAGGGTTAGGGTACAAAATATATAATCTACACTGTATTGATAGCATCTGAGTTCTTAATTGTACATCACAGGACACTAGCATCATTAAACATAACAATCTGTGAACATTGACATGATGTTTCAATTAAGTAATAGTATTATTTTTTTCAATTTGAAAAAAGCACATGTACACTGCAGGTCTTATTACAGCAAACAGTTGATAAGAAAGAAACCGTATTAGTATGATTAACCAAGATTAGTTGTGGCAGAATCTGTTGACTGAAAAAAGGTTTTTGTATTCCTTAAGTTATTATTACTAGCATT